TAAAGCTCACCGAAATACTTGCATAAGGCCCATCTGTTCTTTTTTCAGAATATGTTTGTTTACAAACAAAAGAAACGTCCAATCACTTGATAAGCCTACCATGTAATGTACCATGCAATTATGCAAATGACAAATCGAACCTACGATACAGCTTATAGAATATGTCAATGTCACAACAAATAAATAAGGGCCTTCATGAAGTTCATCCACTTGGCATGCTGAGGGCCAAAATCTTGGAAACTTGTTATACTTCAAGACTCATTCACAACAATTTATTGACGTTGCACAATAATATCAACATTAAAGTGCAATCATCCCCTAATATTTATAATAAAGATATATTTACATCATAAGGATTTATCTCCCTTTACCTGTATGACAGCCCATTGGCGCCATATGTTTTCAACTTTATATTGCACATTTTAATAGCAAAATACACTTGGTTCCCCTGATTAGATTTGTCTAGGCTTATAGTATGTTTTACATACACATATTCTGATTGCATTTTAATAGAATTGTTTCTGTTGCAATATTTGGAGGTCAAACCATAGATATACTAGGCTATAAGAGGATAGGACAAGGACTGGTTCGCTCTAAGTCAGTGTACTGTGTCCAGGGTACTCATGTAAAACTGTGGCATGGTATCGAAGTAGTTGAAGATCAGTTGAGTGCAGACTTACTTAGACCATAGTAAGAAAGTATGGTAAGGCTGATTGCAGCAATATTTCAGAAACATCACTGAGGGGGGAAACCAGCAATGGGCTTTTCACATTTTACCCATTTTGGGAATCGTAACCCCAGCTTTTGCTGTGACAAGCAATAGCTTTCACCACGAGGCTAGCCTTTGAGACTGTATGTGACCATGGTGATTAGGCTACTAAAAAGTAGTAGGAAACATTGCAACATGCCATGTCTGTTTATCCGTTTTAAACATGTAATGCTCAATTTCAGAATTATGTTATCCCCACAAATTTGGTTAACAGAACTAGAATAATTGGAAACATTTTAATCATAGCTTTTCCATCATCATTTCCTTGGCTAGAAACTGAAACCAATAAATCATTACTGAAATGCCAAGCCAAGGCTCGATTTAGGGAACTTGATTTAACTTGCACCAGGAGCATGTTGACATGAAAACCTAGTTGAACCAGACAAAACCAGGTTGCACCTTGGTCGCATAAATTTGAAGTTGAAACAGGACAGTTTGCTTCTAGTGTCACATAAATACACATATTGTGGTAAAATTTAACAGTAACATTGAAGTACCCACAGTTTGATGACGTCAAGCCCAAGGAAGCATGACAAATTACACGCAAAACACAGGGATTAGTGAGGTAGTATGGTAAACAGAGCTTAGAGGTATAGAGTGTGTTGAAAGGTCGATGTTGTGTGGACAAGTAAGGATTAGTCAGACACCAAAAAAATTTACATGTACTTGGTGCATGTAGACATACATACCAGGTTTCACTTTTCAATAATAGGTTGCACTGGTGCATGTTTTATTCAGGTAAGTCAATCCCTGCAAACTAAATTGAACACAACTAGACCTTAAAGTTGCAATGTCCTAAATCATACACTGAGTAAATGAAGTTCAAGTTAAAGACATTTCACTGTATATACTTTGCAACTATAGCTTCTAACATGTGTCTAACTGAAAAGATCCAATTTACACATGCAAACAAACAGTCTCAAACATCACCTGCTGAAACCCATAGATCCATATTGGGTTTCAATGTTGTGGCCTTGGCAATGGAACTGCAAGTTGGATAGTACTGGGACTTCCCGTATTTAAGGCCCCTGCGTCATTACGCTCATGGGCCAAAAAAACGGAAATAATTCTGTATTTAGGCCTAAAATCGGACATTTATTTTGGAGTGATCTCCCTTAAATTTATAACTTACTCCCTTCGAAAATTAATATGTGGTGATGCACTACATGAGGCAAATCCTAATGTACATTCAACAGTAAGTCCGGTTCATATAAAAATTCATGTTTTATATTTTCTCAATTAAAACCACTTTCAGACAAGGGTGTCCCCTATTTAGGATAGAAAGCATTAGCTTCAAAAATTGAGCCATGCGCTTAATTTCGGATAACATATTTTAAATGAGAAAGTGCTATTTTCTGTAATTAGGCCCGGGGCTTAAATGTGATAAGTCCTGGTAGTCACTTGAATCACTAGTGCGTTCTTTAAGGTCACTTAGAAAGTTCACTGAGAGTAAGCTATCAATTCATGGTTATTCTTTTTAAGTGAGCCATTCAGATTGATTTCTATATGTACCTGAAACTGTGTCGCCCTTCAGAAATCCAGTGTGAAACATTATCGACAGACAGTAACAAGTTTCTATTGTCAGTTTATGATACCATTTGACACCACTATAACAATCTGACTAGTTTTCACCAATTATCACTTTTATTGATGCATGCTACCTGCAACCTACATCAAGACCTAACAATGCAGCATGTTAATATTATTAACTTATCAAGTGGACCAATGATATAAATTCCTATTGACCCATGCCACATAACTCTTCAATGTTGGAACCAGAACTGTTGAAATTGAAGTGTAACAGGGACAATGTGCCGCTTTGTACGTTTGTACACAAACACCTCGGTATTAAATCATAGCAATGAATTTCAACAGACAAAGTGAACTCAGGTAATCATGAAATGAGATCACTTAACTATGTTGAATATTTGTCAGTGTTACATAACATTCTCCAATATGCACCATAACTAACATTAGCAATCAGTTCTCTTCACTGAAGTGTTTATCATGCCAATGGGGAAAATGGAGTGGATCCTCTCTTTCATTAAAAAATAAGCAAATATATATTTAAAAGTCATACGGGTGACTTAGAATCAACGAGACACAATGCTATCATTCCTGATAATTGACCAACCAGTTAATGATCACGAAAGTGATATCCAAAGTGAATATCATCTATGGAACCAGGAAGTAGTCGGCATTAGAGATGATGAAGTTGTACACCGTTCTGGTTTAAAACTCCAGAGTTTCTATGAGAATGACCCTTCAAAATATTATTCTTTTCATTCATAATTCTTCTTGTTGCAATTAGACACTGTAGACTCTAGAGATGTCAGTCCTAACGTAGCTGATGTCATTCACACCATGTGTGAAACTGAGACATTCTCTTGTGTAATTAAGGTAATCACTGACTGCTAGTTTGATAGACATAATAAAATATGCATACAAACTATGTGGATTTTTAGTTACTCAAATCATACATGCTAGGATTACCAAAGGAGCGTCATAGTAGTTTCCCAAAACTTACTGTGACAGAAAGATCATGGCAGATATTGAATAAAGGTTCCCATGGGCACCTTTCAAATACTGTATTATATACATAAAATGGTCCATTTTCCAGATTCTGTAGATTTCTAGTAAGGTAGTCTGCAACTGTCCAAAACCCAAGTCTGATAAAATGTCTTTGTCTGGAACACTCAGCATACAATAATAGCCCATAAACAGTGAAACCCCATTTTACTGAACCCTGTTAATCTGGAAATCCCACATGGACATTACAATGAATTAATAATCTTTAAAACTGTTAATGCAGATGATTTATCAGGAACAAGGTTTCACTGTTTTAACATCCAAATTTGGGCTCATAGACTCAAAAGATAACATGAAAAGTGTGTGTCTGTAGGAATGTCATCGTGGGGAATAATGAAAAATTGTAAATTTCTTAATTATCATTTCCAAGATGAACTTAATGAAACAAGTGGTAACATAGCTAGAGGTGATGATGCCGATCAGATCCAGGTACAACTAAGGGACATGACTCTGCATGGTGAATTATATTGCCTAAGACCACTGGTTCCCAACAGTAGGATGAAAAGATGTTTACATTAGTAATTAAAATATAAACAGAGTCTTATTTTAAAGAATTTCAATTTAACTGAACATCACTTATTATTAAGTCTGGTTAGAGCTTGGTGTTTACTACTACCAGATTGATATCTAAACGATTGTTTATTACAATAACTAAAAATAAACTTGGATGTTTCAGCTAGATTTGAATATCTTTTGTCTCTCATGAAATGTCTGGATCAATAATCATAAATTTTAGCTCATGAAAAGGTCTCAACAAAAAGAATACTTTCACATATCTTAGTACACATCCATCAGACACTAACATTGAACACCAGAACGGTATGTACCTGAAGGCATATAATGTGTGAGAACATCATAAACCAGAAGACTGTGTCTGTGTTACAATCAATGGTTATAGGTGCACTTTTTTCATATTTCACAGGTCGGTTTTGATGACACATTATCAATTTTGACTTGAGAAATGTGGTTGTTCAAATTGACCAATCAAAATGCCATGTCCATTTTGGTGCTGGTCCATTTGATAGACACCCCATTTATCCACATACTGACATTACAGACACTAATGTATTATGTTTCAGATACACTTTCATGTATCCAGTAGAGGTTGGTAGGTAAATTATTTGTGATGCAGAACTATCAACATGTTTTTGAGAACATCTATGGAAAGAAAATCAGATGTTGTGATGCTTTTATTTGTTATTCAACTTCAAATATTGGTGCTGAGGTGAATTTTCACCAATGGGGATAGGTTAATTCAAGTATGGCATCTTCGTTTCATCAATTTCTGCATGTAAACACATGGCAGGGCACTTACACAGGAGTGAAGTAAACATAAAATCTCAAGTTGACATTTAAAATCTCACGTTACGATCATGGTCTGAGCCAAGAATGGATTTACTTTCCAAGGGAATTATGTAGGCAAATGGCTATTTTCAAATAATAGTGTACCTGTGTAGGTAGACATGGACAAAAGCATGACAATGCATGAAGTTATGAAATAAAAAGAATTGCCATGTGACAGCGAACAACTCAACAACGCTGGCTGTTGATATTTCTTGGACTAACGTTCACCTGACAGCGGCATAAACGTTCACTTTAGACTAACTGGGTAGACTTGGTCTCTCGGATAACGAATAATTACCTGTAACTGCCCTGTGCAATCCGCCTTGGATTTTCTCCTAAATCGAAGTTTATGTGATCCGATGATGCACTTTTCAATGTGAAGCATGCACTCTCCGGTAAAAATCGGTGTGGAAAATTGAGGGACTGTCAGGGAAATAAGGTGTTAGAAGCTACACAATGGTGTTAAATTGCTTCTGTTTACATTGTCACTTTCTGTCATGGTAAAACGAGGTCCGAAAGGCCAACCAATCCTGGCCTGAAAGTAGAATACCTGGCTGGTACGATAGATGTGCCTTTCTCACTGAAAAATGGCAGGCGAGTGCTGTTGTGACGTCACAGGAAGTAGCGTTCACGCGCGTGACATCATGAGCTTTGCTGTGGGGGCGCTTGCTCCAAACAGTAGCAAGTTCGTATCTCAAAAACGTATTCCCGAAGTCGGATACGGTGAAAATAATACTTCCAATGCTTTTATTTCAGATGTCATCTATTGTAGTCTGAAGTGTTAGGGAAGGCTGCTATCAAGCATATATTGTCTGCTTCACCAGACTTGATTATAATATGTACTTTCGATATTTATTGATTTGACACAAACAAATGACGCAATTGAAATAAAATATAGATATAATTAGCAATATGTATATACTATTCAATATTTTATAATGCAATTCATTTCTTTTGAAACATAAATTGCCTCTCAAAAGTAAGTATACACATAAAAAATGGATATAAATAATTGCATTACAAACGTTATCAAAACGGCACTGGGTTGAAAACAGTCGCCGAAACTATGCAAACTCTTGAAGGTCCAAACACAACTACAAAACCCGTATCAAATACATCATTAAATAACCATTTCTTGGTTGTTTCATTTTAGCCGCCACCAAACATAGGTGAATACGTTATTTTGCCCGACAGCAGACTACATCATCACATGGCAAGCACAGATAAGGTGTATACTTCAGGTGGCCTATAATCGCACGCACGCACACACGCGCGCGCACACACACACACACACACACACACACACACACACACTCTCTCTCTCTCTCTCTCTCTCTCTCTCTCTCTCTCTCTCTCTCTCTCTCTCTCACGCACACTCACTCACACCCCTCCACCACCTCCCTCCAAATTGCATTCACCCTATACACGGATATATTACACAACGTACGCTCAATATACACCGAGCGTACTTCACTTCATGGTCGTGTATATTAGGGAACAAGATGCCAACGTGGTACATGCACTAGGAAGGAGTAGTTTACTTGGTTCTGTTATAATGTACAGCATGCTTATCCATTGTATATCACTATGAACGCCCGTCCCACAAGCAAGATTGACCATGCATCGCTTGTCTTAACATACACGCGAAGGTTTAAATGTGGATTTATCAAACATGAATAGCAGTTTATTCTAGTTCTCACAAGCAGCAACATGGACATCCCTATTTTGAAGAACTAACTATGTGAAGAACATGTATATTGATAGTGAATATAAATAATAGCTTTAGTTAAATGACTTTGGTGCAACACGAGTGACGAATCATTGCATGGGTGTGGCCCATTGCATCGCCTCGCTGCACATTCGAGTCGTGTGCTTGTGCCAGATGAAAGGATCAGTCAATATACACATGCTGGAGGCTTTATGTTTGAGCATAGGGACATTTATGTGTTAACATAACAGCATAGGCACAGCGGGCATTAATTTAAAAAAAAGGTCAGATAGACAGGTGAATATGTGTCTAGATAGACAGGTGCATATGTAGACAGATAGATATATAGACAAATATGTGAACAAATATAGCCAATACATGTAGACAGGTGGATATGTAGCCAGATAGACAAGTGAATATGTAGCTAGATAGACATGTGAATATGTAGCTAGATATACAGGTGGATAGGTAGCTAGACATACAGGTGAATAGGTAGACAGATAGATATATAGACAAATAGGTGAACAAATAGCTAATACATGTAGACAGGGAGATAGATAGACAGGTGGATAAGTTACCAGGTAGACAGGTTGAGAGGTAGTCATTTAGACGGGGGGGGGGGGGGGGGGGGGGGGGGGGGGTCAACAATCGGACAGACATAGGTATAGTTAGATACTAGACAAGTTGATAGGTAAACAGTCAGATAGACATAAGGAAAGGTAGGCAGGTGGATATATAACCAATTAGGTAGACAGGAAGACAGATGGACAGGTGAGTGAATACTAGAATATAGACAGATGGATAGATAAACAATCAAATATACAGGTGGATAGCGGCCAGGTGGACAGGTGAATATTAGAATATAGACAGATGGATAGGTAGACAGGTGGATAGATAAATATTAAAATATACAGATGGATCGTGGCCAGATGGACAGGTGGATACTCGAAAATAGACAGATGGATAGATAAATATTTAAATATACAGGTGGATAGCGGCCAGATGGACAGGTGAATATTGGAATATAGACAGATGGATTGGTAGATAGGTGGATAGATAAATATTTAAATATACAGGTGGATAGCGGCCAGGTGGACAGGTGGATACTCGAAAATAGACAGATGGATAGATAAATATATAAACATACAGGTGGATAGCGGCCAGATGGACAGATGGACACGAGGATATAGACAGATGGATATGTGGATAGATAAACAGATCAGATAGACAGGTGGATAGTGGCCAGATGGACTGGTGGACATAGAGACAGATATATAGATAGACAGATGGATAGATAAACACTTAGATAGACAGGTGGACAGGCACAGAAAAACAGGTGGACAGGTACAGGCGAATAGGCAGCCAGATTGGCGAGTGGATAGATATATAGGCAGAGAACCGGGAGAATGGGCAGGTACTGGTTGTCCTGATACGCAAGCAAGATGTGCGAAATATGGTTGAAAAAAGTCCAGCTAAAAAAGAGACCGAACATAATAACTATATGATTATATGATCGGAATAACTACCGCATCTCCTGTCATGCACGCAACACCAACAGCCCTCGGTCATTGAGACATGCTGTTTCATCTGGGCGGAGAAGCTTATTGAGCCGACAGGGTGGCTGGCACAACAACGTTGGGTATCACACGCCAACAGAACAACACAACCATTCATCCCATCAATATAAACAGTTTGGGCTGACAGTAATCACATCTGCCATCTTCAGCTGCGATCATCCATGTCGTGATCAATACGTCGATAGGCTTTTGTCGTCTATGCAATTATATAATGGCTATGGCGGATCAACTGTGCCTTGATACTCATACGGTATTTTACTCTTCGTTATTTAAAAAAAATATTTATTGCAATAATCATTGACTACAGTCACAAACATTTGCCATTCGTCTGCGCGGAGCTACGTCCCTTAGTTGTGACAGGATCCGTTGGTCGTATGTTGGAGGTGAGGTGAGGTGAAATTGGGTTTAACGTCGCGTCAAAGATTATGGCACTTATATAGCGACGTGCATGCACGTGTGTGTGTGTGGCTGCTTGTACCAGTCCGGACGGATGCCGATTTATAGTGCTAACACACTGAGATACCATGCTGCAGTTTAACATGAATACCCCAGTCAGACACAGTATACTGACTCCGAGCCGACCAGTCCTTGTTTTAGTCACTTAATGCCGAGCGCCAGACAGTTCCATCTTTTAACGCCTTTTGGTATGACGCGGCCGGGGATCGAACCCCAGACCTGCCTTGGTCCTTCAGCTCTCCGGGCGGACGCTCTACCACTAGACCACGGAGGCGGTCGTTGTATGTTGGAGGAACGTCCTGATCATGTCCTTGGCTTGTCAGCACCATGTACCTGTGATTGTGGTTTGCGCCAAAGTGGGGAACAAAAGATAGGTATCACTTTGCATGGGTTTTCCTCCCAACATGTTAAAGGTGTTTTGTTTGTTTGTTTGTTCTTCATCGCAGCACTCAGCAATAATCCAGCTACATGACAGGGGAATGTGAATAATCAAATCTGGACCAGACAAATCAGTGTTTATATATATTGCTGACTCTTGCCAGAGACATCCTTAACTCACTGCAGACCCGTGTAGAATAGATCTTCAGCAATCCACTTTTTATCGTAAAAGGCGACAATGCTTGTCGTAAGAGGCGACTAAAGGGATCGGGTGGTCAGGCTCGCTGACTTGGTTGATGCATGTCATCGTATTCCAGTTAATGGATCAATGCTCATGATGTCAATCACTGGATTGTCTGGTTCAGACTCAATTATTTACAGACCGCCGTCATATAGCTTGAATGAGTGAGTGAGTGTGGTTTTATGCCGCTTTTAGCGGGGGACACCAGAAATCGGCTTCACACATTGTACCCATGTCGGGAATCGAACCTAGGTCTTCGGCGTGACGAGCGAACGCTTTAACCACTAGGCTACCCGACCGCCCCCATATAGCTGGAATAGTGCTGAGTGAGGCGTTACACAACAAACGCATATAATAACTCACTGCATTATAGCTGCCCATTGAAGTCGTCTTGAAATAGGAATGAGTCTATAGTGTAGATATGATATTTCCGATGCCGCCAAATCTCATCCAGTATTAAAATACAGTGTCGTCATGGCACCTTAATCCCATTCCCCTGGATGCACTTAGCCCGCACACTTCGCCATCGTCGACAATCTCATTAAATTCAGATCATACTGCTCTCTACCGCTTTTGTGAGGAATGGTAGCGCGGAAAGGCCAATAGTATATGCAGAGTTTGCGCCCCTTTGTTGTACCAGGATCCGTTGGTCGAAGGTTCGAATCCCAGATGTCCTGATAATGTCCTTGGTATGACAGCATCGTGTACATGTGCGTGTGTCTTGAACCACAGTGGTGAACATGTAAGATATGTATCAGTTTGTAAGACATGTATCAGTGTGCATGGGTTTCCACATACATTTTTTAAACAGCAGTGAATTTCAAAAATGGTATAAAAAACTCACTCATGTACTCAAGTAAGACTCCAGATTTTCATTTACAGTGGTGGATTAGTATTAATTTTAATTTCATATTTGGCGACTTGTTGGCGACATTGCAAAATAATACACCTAAAACAATGACCTGTGTGAGTTTTAAGGTACTAACCTTTTTTTCTGTATCACTCAGTACACATTATGTAAATAACACAATATCCGAACACATGCCTTTCTCATTAACAAAAGAAAATTAAAATTGATAATCATACCAGTATAAGATGGGTTTGCTATTTAAACTTGAAATATAAGTATTACAGCAAAAGCACAAATACGTTTTTTTAGGATTTAACTTTGATTATATTGGGACACGGTTACTTACAAATGTGGCACTCAATATAATACTGGTTATTAAGGAACTACCGAAATAAATAGTGTGAGAGTTT